ATTTGGCCACAGGGAGTTTTAGCATCGAAATTCGAGCCAAAAGGAAAATGTTTACCTCGTTTGGCGGCCAAAAAGTGCTCCGGTGCGGCGACGGGTGACAGCGGTCGGTTCCTCCAGTGGCTGGGCTGTCTTCTCCGGCGAGGGCTCTGGCTGTTAGGGTTTGGGGTTGGGTGTGGATGATATTATTTATAACCTTCTCCTTTTAATCTGAGCCGTCCATCACGATTTAATCTGAACTGTCCGATCACGATTAAATTAGAAATGAATATGGACCGTCCATCATGGTGTGATCTGGGCCGTCCGTGCGCGTGGAAACGGATCTCAGTCGTCCGATCGCGCGCACGTAGATCGCCCACGTGGCTCCATTTCGCGTGGCCTCCCGCATCAGCATCTCTGCCACGCGGCATGTCCTGGTTGGCCGGGGCTGCTGACGTGGTGCAATTTTTTCTAAATTGCGTTTTGACCTCTGGTTTCCGATTTTATTTTCAAAAACACGAACAGAATCCGAATTTTTACCCCTTTTTTCCAAAATTATTTTCAATTAAACCCCAAAAATAATTTTACCTATTTTTATCATTATTATTATTTTTATTTCTATTTAATTAAATTAAACTAAATTAAAACCATATATTATTACTTACATAATCATTTATTTCATTTAAAATTTACAAAAATTTAAAATAAAACAAAAAATAATATTCATAAAAAAAAATAATAAAATTTTGGGGTGTTACATATATTTACCGTTGCAAGATTTTAAAAATCAACCTATAGAGAGAATAACTCAAATAACTTTATAATCTCAAATTCAAGTGAGTAAGAACAATAATTTTTCCTTTTTATTTACATATTGGTATCCCTGGGGGCCCGTAGGAATGTCCCACTACACGTGAACCAATATCCAACATTGTCAACTAACCAGCCGTCCCCATACTCCGTATGGTATGAGCGCCAAAAATATCATCCCTTAATATCTCGTTCGATATGAGGGTGAATCGAACCGTCTTCATACCCCGTCCGGTATAAGCGCCAAAAATACCATCCCTCAATACCTCGTTCGGTATGAGAGTGAATCGGGCCGTCTCCATATCCCGTTCGGTATGAGTGCTAAAAATATCATTTCTCGATACTCCGTCCAATATGAGGTAACGTTCACGGTAGTGTTCCCTATGTACCCGTTTCGTCCACCATCTCCCAAGATATGCAGTAAGTCTACCATTTATTAATTCACATTACTAAACAATTTTTCGTTTGTATATTAATTTCTAATTTCACAAATCAACCGTAAATCATGCAAGACAAGCAATATATATATTAATGAAGTACAACTGAATCATTTAACTATTTCAGTATATCATCATGTATTTAAAGCTGTAAATTTAATAATCAGTTAAATAGGATAAATAAATAACTAACCAATTCCGGCTCCATTAGTAACCTGTAATTATTCTCAAAGTTTTTTAAATTATACAAAATACTATATTATCAATTATTAAGCTTCAATTCCATAATAAAGAATAAAGTGATGAATTCTTACTTGAATCGGTGTTCGAAACACCAAATTTTCTACTGCATTTACTGGTAGTCCTCGGGTTTCCTAAATTTTTTATGGATTAAAACACGCTTCACGTACCTAAAAATACCCTAAAAATCCAAAATTAGTATTAAAAATTATTTTTTGGCCAATTTTGGAGTTCTAGTACGGTGACATCACTGTGCTCCGATGACAGCACCACTACCTGCGGCGGTGATTTGCCTTGGTCTGACCATTTTTGGCAAGTTTTTACCAATTTTGTACCCATTCCTGCGAGAAAACACGTTAGAGGGTCTTGGTTGGCAAAAAAAAAGTTAAAAAATAAAAACCTACCGATAGTGAAATTTTTTGGTGCGGCGGCTCCGCTGGCTCACCTTCGCGGCTGAACGTTTTTCTCTGGTCGACGTGTAGAAAATAGAACGATGAACACAATGGTAGAAAAATTGCACGAAATGAGAAACGGGAAGAAGCTCATCGGAGACAATTACGAGTTTTACCTGCGGCAGCACCGTTGGGCTTTACCCACAGTTTTTGGCTCACCCGCCATTCTTTTTGCTCCGATTTGGCCATGGAGGTGCTCGAAATCAAATTCCGAGCGGATAGGAGAATTTTTACCTTTTTTGGCGGTTGGAGGTGGCTCCAACATGGCAGCGGTCAGCGTTCGGCTCCTTTCTCCGACGAGTGGTTATTCTTCTCCGGCAGGAGGCTGGCAGCTAGGGTTTGGGTTCAGTGTGATGCGAGATATTTATACCCGTCTCACATTAATCTGGATCGTTCATCACGTTTGATCTCAACTGTCCGATTACGTTTAAAGAGGGAACAAATCTAGACTGTTCATTGTGTTTAATCGCGACTGTCCGGTCATATTTAAAGAGGGAACGAATCTAGACCGTTCATCACATTTGATTGCGACTGCTCGATCGCACCTAAGGAGAGAACAGATCCAGACCGTCTACGCACGCAGGAACGCTTTTGGGCCGTCCGATCGCGGGACACACAGATCACCAGCGTGGCCTCCCGTGTGGCACTAAGTCAGTGAACCTTGCCACGCGGTGTGCTCAGGTTCGTTGGGGCTGTTGACTGGGTGGTCCTACATAGTAAAATTTTTTTTAATTACGTTTTGATATCCAGTTTTTATTTTTCTTTCAAAAATACTATCCGAATCCAAATTTTCACCCATTTTTTTCAAAATTATTTTTAATTTCATATTCAACCTATTTTTTTTTTCATAATTTCACATTAAATTAAAATTTATTAATTTCAAAAATAAATTTTTATAATATTAAAATTAATTTCGGACCAAATTCTGGATCCGGATATTACACATTCCGTCATTGCTGTTTCGAGTTAGCCCTAAAATAAAGTTTAACTGTCAAATCTTAATAAGTAACCAACTATGTTTTATGTAAATTATAATTCACTAATAAATGACATAAGAAACTCTTTTATTCTTTCATTCAACTGTCTTATCTAAAATCTTAATTTAATTGTTATAATAAATGATAACATAGAGGTTAAATTTATTATCAAAGTTGACAGATTCTGTCTTGACCAATCATTAATTCTATAAGTATTTAATTACACCCAATATCTTTTCAACTGCAGTTCTATGAATATAAGTGTTCAGAATCAAAATATAATAAAATATTTGTCAATTATTATGATGATCTCAAGTATAAGAAAATTTTTATGTTTCATCAAAATAAGAAAATATTTTATTAACAGTTTAAGATAATATTAATTATTAAAAGTTTTTAATTGGGTTGATTCAATGATCATATCTTCGTATGCATCATCTATATATGTGATTTATTAATAGATCAAGTAATTTTTATCTTATAGAGACTATTACATATATATTAGTTTTATC